TTCTGAAAATTATTTTGCTTTCTGGTATAAAGTAAATATCTGAATTAATTTTTTTTGTATTTTAATTTTTATAGCTGTATGTTTAATATTTCTGAGCTAAGAATACTTTTGGAATATTGTCTACATCACAGTGATCTGATGAAGTAGTGTAATCACCCGTTTATAGACGAGGAGGTTAAATGATTGGCCCGTGTTTAGAGAGGGAGTAAGTGGCAGAGCTGGAACGTGAGCCCAGGTCACCTGCCTCCTAAGTCCACAGGGAACACCGGTGCCAGCCCCACTTCCACCGCCCCGCCCCCCTGCCCTATTGTATTTTTTATTTTTCAAGAATTTATCTGTTATTTTTAGCTTCTTATTTTTCCTGATGAACTTTAGAATAATTTTTAAAGAACCAATCAAACAAAAAAAAACCCTTCTCGGTGAGAATTATATTAAACCTATGAATTCGTGTCGATGATTGACAGTTCTGGGTTCAGCGTTTCCATCCAGAAACCTGGCTCATCTCTGTCTGCCAGGAGATGGCCAAGAAGCTTCGCGCAGTTTGTCGTTTTATTCTCAGGAGGTTGTTTTGAAGGAGCCTCTGGTTCCTAGCGTCTCCACCTCCGCGGTGCTCCCTTCAATCCGTACCTTCCCCTCTGCCCGGCTGCCTTCTGCTCTCACTCCTGGTGTCGCTCAGGAATTGCTCGACATGAGTTTTGACCATGAGCCACCTCCTGCTGGACCCCTGGACATCCCGCAGTTGGAGTCCTCAGTCCACAGTGCTCTAACGTCTCACCTGGATGTCTTGCCCAGGAGAGAAAATTTCTGAAGGCCAGTAGAGGCATTGTATAGTCTCGATATTCTTCCTGCCTGCTGGGAGAGCATCCAGTAGGTGCTCAATAAGTGATTGTTGAATGAATTGTCTCTTATCACTCTAATGAAGCTGCTGCTAGATTTGTTTCTTTACATATGCTGAAGAACAATGGTTTTCAAACTTTAGTGGGCATCAGAGTCTTCTAGTGTGCTTGCAAAAACACATATTGTTGGGTATCACCTCCAGAGCTCCTGGTTCGTTAAGTCTGAGTGAAGCCCAAGAATTTACATTTTTAAAAAGTTCCCAGGTGCTGGCGGCTGCTGCTCATCCACAGAACCCACTTTGAGACCCATTGCTCTAGAAGACCCCTTTTTGTAACGTGACTAGCACGGGTGGTTGGCTGGTTACACAAAAAAGGTTTTTAAAATGGGGAATCATAAAATATGATACATGCATACTTTAAACATCTTGTTTTAACTTAAAACGTATAATAAACACACTTGGGTTCACCAATTTGTTGAGGTAGGCGTCTCTCAAAGCAAAGCAATGTAAGTGCAGAAATTCTCCTATTGTTTTCCAAATCTTTCTTCTGCTTTTCGTAGTTGTCTCACCCATCTGATTTCTTTTTAGCAACGTAGTTTATTCAGTCTTTCCAAAGTACTCCACCTTATCCTTATAGAAAGACTTCTTTCTTTTTACACCCATATTTCATTAATTTATGTAATATTTAATTCAATTTAAGACCAAGTACAAACTGGTGTGAGCAGGTTTGGGACTCACATCTGACTCCAGATGATCACGCAAGGCGGTTGGTTGGTTTGGAAGTTGCCAAGTGTGCTAGAAATCGTTCCACCAGCACCAGTGTTCAGTGGGTTTACAGGATGGAGGGCCTCAGCTGATCTGGCTAGGGCTTAAATGAAGGCCCCTTAAGAGATTGTTCTATCTACTGCTCCCTTCTAACTACGGTTGCCAGATTTCTCAAACAAAAATACATGATACCCAGTTAAGTTTGAATTTCAGATATAAAACAAATAATTTTTCAGTGTAAGTGTGTATTTGGGGCATACTTATACTAAAAAAAGTATTTGCTATTTATCTGAAATTTAGATTTAATCAGGCGTCATGTATTTTATCTGGCAAACCCAACTGTACCACATTTTCTCTTGACACCTGTCTATGCCTCCTTCCAAGTGTAGCTGAAATAGCCACTTCTCTCTGGATTCCTGCTGCCCTTCTCCCAAGCTCATGAGTTGCCCCCTCTGAGGTTCCCACTCCCCCCACTCTGTGCCCCTACGAGGCCTAGACCAAATTAACGATTATCATCTGTGTCTGCCCACGTAGCCTGGGAGCCTTATATTTGAGGATAAATTCCCTCCTCTCTCCCTGACTTTTGATGCTTCATGTGTAGTCAGAGATTATTCCATATTTTCTGAGTGAATTCATTAACGAGTGGCAAGTCCAGGGAACCTCTGATGTGAAGTGTGATTTAGCCCACTCCCCTGCTCGAATGAACAAGGGTATCAGATTTAACTCTTTTTTTCAGAAGACCTCTCATTTGGCCTTGTTTCTTTGTACTTTCAGCCACGGTGGCAATGGGAAACAACACAGAAGCTGCTTTAAGGAACACTCACGTGACAACTGGTAACTTTATATCTAAACTCTGGGGCTGGGAGGTTGTGGTGCCCAAGGCCACCCTCATGGAATCAGGAAGTACAGCTGCTGAGAATTCTGCTGGCTTTTAGGTGTAGGACAGGAAGGACCTCCCCTGATGGGTTGCCTGGGCTCAGTTCTGCAGCCCCTTTCTCCTGCCGTCTGACAGGCATGGAGATGCCCGCCTCTGCCCATCCACATCCCCTGCCCACTGGGTGTCCAGTGCGGGTGGCACCCAGTCACCAGGGCAGCAGAGGCACATGGGAACAGCAGCATCCAACTGAGGACCCTTGGATATAATCCCTTATTTTTTCTCTTCTTTTCTAGAATCTGCAACAAATCTTGGAAACTTTGCCTCAGTTAATGCTTCAAATGGTAACTGCTTCAATTCCTCATTTTATTATAGTCCTGCATGGGTATGTAAGTGCCTATTTGTACAAAAGCACAGACCGTAAGTTGGGTCAAATAGTTCAAATGCTAAAAAATATGTATATATACGAGGAGGCAGAAGAGTGAAGTGGTTAAGAACAACGGCCTGAGTACAGACCCCGCCCCTGTCACTCGAATCTTGAGGAAACTTCCTAAGCCTCCGCTTCTCCGTAGGGTTGTGCTGAGGCTGCTAAGATGACACACGGAACGCTCCTGAGTGTGACCGAGGTTTCCATGTTAGGAAATGCTCAAAATCGTTGCCACAATTAAGCTTCCAAAATTGGGGCCTTTGGGTGTGAGTGAGGGAGGAGAAGTGATGTCACAAGTGTGGAAGTGTGACGCGCAGGGTTACAGGCATTTTAGAAGCAATCCTAGCTCTCCTGTTGACACCTGGAGTATCGCTCTACTTTCTGAATGGA